AACCTGCTGGACAATGGAGATAGAAATATACTCACTGTCTGATCCAGCCTCTTCAAAGTATTTTTAGTCCATTTTTGCTTGTTTTCAGATGCACTAATGGCAGCTTTCTGAAAGCACTCTTCCTGGATAGCCTTGCTGTGTGGCACTTATTACTGAGCACAGTTATTATTTCTTGTGACGTATATAACATGAATGAAAACAACTTATTTAAGCATTGGTTCTTGAGCAGTCCAATGAAATCCCAAAGAGCTCCAGGCACAGCATTGCCCTTATTGCACCAAACAAATCTCAGGTGACAGCCCAGCAGTGTGAGACCAGCTGGGAGTCCACTGGGTGCTGCAGGTACTGCATTTTGGCAGGGAACAGAGTTATAGAATCATAGAATCGTTTCAGTCGGAAGTGAAACTTACAGGTCATCTAGTCCAGCTCTCCTGCGATGAAGAGGAACACCTACAGCTAGATCAGGTTGCTCAGAGACCCGTCCAACCTGACCTTGAGTGTCTCCAAGGACGCAGCATCTGTCACTGCTCTGGGCAATCAGTTTAAGTACCTCATCACCCTTATTGCAAAAACCAGTTTTCCTTATACTCAATCTGCCCAGCTACAGAAAGGATTCCTCTTCCCCAGATTCATTGTAGCCTTGGTATGCAGCCAAAAAGTCTGTGTCAGACACTCAGCCGGGCACTCGGTCAGAGACACGACCTGCACCAAAATACTTTGATTCTGCCATTGTTGAGAAGCAGAGGAATTGGAGAAAAAGCAGAGAAAAGAATCTCTTGCTCCAGCAGCTGCAATCCTGCAATCAACCCTTGTGCAGAAGAAAGACACTTGCTGCAAAACAAGAATGATGTCTGTGGCTGCAACCTGCAGGCAGCCCGAGAGCTGTGGTTGCGCCCAGGACTGGGCTTTAGCCTGCAGAATGTTTCTGTTTGCCCACTTGCAGCAGTTGTATATAAAGCACAATTCCTGTGTTTTCTTCATTCTATTTCTGTTCTCTTTCATCACGGATAAATTAACATGAAAGGAGCTGATGGGGCTAATTAGTTCCAAACAGGGAATTGCTCTCCATTAATTTCTCTGCTTGGAACTCTTTGTAAACCGGTCAGATTGTTCCATTTTTGCAGCTTATATTTTAAAACCTCTTCATTCATAGCACCTAATCCTTTATTTCTTCTTGTTTTTCTATTTGATCCTGTAGGGAAAACATAATTCCACATAATTGGGACCTGGAAATAATACATGGTTACAAGGGAGGTTTAGCCTTGAATGGAAGTGTGTTCAACAAACAGTAGCCATGGCAAAATCTGTAAAGAGATACATGGAGAATGAGTTTAGAAACTGAATGCAATCAGCTGGACATAATGCCAGGAACTAACTCACCCAGCTGCTTTCTCCCAGGCTTGTGCAGAGCAGGGAATAACTGCAATTTGTACAGCAAGCTGCAAACTGGAGACAGTGCTTGAGGAATAAGATGTTCCTCCATCCAAGTCATAGAATCATTAAATGCTTTAAGTTTTAGGGGACCATAAAGCCCATCCAGTTCCAACTCCCTGCCATGGGCAGGGTTGCCAACCACCAGATCAGGCTGCCCTGGGCCCCATCCAACCTGGCCTTGAATGCTTCCAGGTCAGCTGGAGTCATGTCATTGAGCTCTTGCTCATTGGACTTTCCCTCATAGCCCTATAGCTTCAAGCATGACCATGCAGATGGGCATTGGAAGTTGGGCTCCCATTCGTAGGTGGGGATTTGAAGCAAGGTTTGCTCAGTAACTACAGATATTAAATAGTTTGAGCAAGTGGCAGATGCAACTTTTTCACATGTTCACTGCCAAGATTTGTATCTTTACTCTGACAGAAGAATAACTTACCTCATTTCCTGGGAAGATGGAGCTCTAGCTCCTCATGAGTTCCATTATTCACACTATTGAGTCCAGTGTTGTGAGCAGGATGCTTTCTGTAGAAGGTGAATAGGAATATTTTGAAAATTTAGGGGGAAAAAGAAAAAAAAAAAAAAAAGAAAAAAAAGAAAAGAAAAAAATGATTTTTGACTTCCTTCCTTGTTATCATTCTGAATCTTGGACAACGTTCTCCCAGTTGCATGTCCCCAATGACTGTATAACCATGCTCAAGATGACTAAATGATACTAAGGTACGTAAATGCTGGTGAATGTCAAACACTCATGCTGGAAATGAAATCCAGCTTTTGTGGCTCATTTATCTCATTTCTCGATCTTTTTTTTTACTAGGCAGGTTTTGAGCCTAGTTTGTGTGGAAACCTCAAGGGGAAGCCAGGGTTGGTTCTCAGTCAGCAGAGAGCTTTTTCAGAAGCTTCTGCAGACATCCTTTAAAAACGAGGAAATAGCAAAACTGTGAGCTGGTCTCCTTGGTCTCTTCCCAAGCAGTCTGGCTGTATTAGGATTCAGGTTTGTTCTGATAATCCATTGGCAGATAACTCTAACGTAGATCAATCCAAAAATGAGGTAAAAAATCCAGCTTATTGAAAGATTGTTCATCTCTGTAGGCAAAACAACCACCTCTACCTTCCGTTTTGAATAAATTCAGATGTTAACTGAAGTGGCCTGGCATTTTTCCAGCGTACAGTAATTCTATTCCGTTTGCCTGAAATTCTCCTTTTAATACAGCTCTGATGAAATGCTTGTCATCTTCCCACTGCCCGCAGTGGTTGCAAAGTGCTGCAGGAGCAGTAGTGCTCACGGCAGCAAGGAGGAAAAGGATTTCTTTAGAGGCAGTTGATCAAACTTCCAAAAACATCCTCCATTGGCACGGATCCGTTTCCCTTGAAGAAACCCAGATTTCTCACAGACATTGCATCCATGGGGCTGAACGAAGCCAGCACAGGTGCCATCCCAGTGCTATGTCAACACGTACATTGGTATGCTGGTGCCATTTAGATTATTAGTTGGCTGGAAAGACAGAAGTTATACTCAGGAAAAAGTGGAGCTGGAACCCTAAAAATCGATGTAGTTAAACGTGAACAGTGAGTGTAGATGATAACTTTATTTCCACCATGATGGTTTCCTTCAAAGCCATATTTTGCCTAATGTTTTTCTGGAAAGGAAGCGGCTTGAGATCTTCTGTGAAAGTGAAGGAGCAAAGAGGTGAAGTCAAAAATGCTCCTTGTATTTCAAGCAAGTATTTTGATACAGCTCGTATTTCCAAGTGTTTTGGTACAGCTCTTTGGCAAGTGCTATAAATGCTTATTTCAAGACTGAGAAGTTTCTTTTAGAAATTTTTCCCCTTTATTGCTCCAAAACAGCAGCAAAACCCAGCACTTCCCTGCCCATATACAACACGTTACTAACTGAACCCAGCCTGAGAACTCCTCTGGGATGTCTGTGTCTTCTGAACATCCCAATCTCTCATTCTGAGATGGAAAATGTCCCCTAAGCAGTAACAGCGGACACTTTTTTTCCCACTACATTAATGAGGTACCTCAAAATCCTCCGACAAAGTAAGAAACATCATTTAATATGAAGCTTCATACCACAAAGTCATAATCATTTTTGGAATGGCAATCTGGGGTCATGTTCATCATCTGGTGTATTGTCCATAAAGAAACGGCAAGTGGAACTGCTGCCCGAATGGAAGGTGAACTTAAGAAATTAACTAACTGAGAGTATTTTCTGCATCAAAAGACTGAGGAGCTTCTGCAGATAGAATAAAAATATATATATATCCTCCAAATGATTTAAGAAGCTGACAAATATGGAGAGGTTTATTAATCACTGTGGTCTAACCGCATTTAACGGGAAGAAGCAAGGGAGGTTTGCTAACATGAAACCGGACCCAAAGGTGACAAAGTTTTTTGAAGATCATGGGTGGATCTACACTCCATTTCAGAGGATGGGGATGCATTGAGAAACTTCTGGACAATGACTGATCTCTGACTGACTTCTGTTCCTAACCAGTATCTAGAATAGGTACAGACAAATCCGTATTCAAGTAAGCTAACCCATTTAATACAAGGCAGAACTTCTGTGTGATGCAGAGCTGGAAGAAGGTCTGATTTACAGTTCAGATACGTTAATACTTTCACATTGTTCTGAATATCTGAATCACACACTGAAAAACGCAACTATGCCGTTTCTATGAACTCATTTGCACGCAGGTAGTGCAAATGGAAGAAAAAAATGTTGCTTTCTCCCAGATTTCTAACAGAATGATGTTTTTCCTAAGAAATCTTCAGTCCAGCACCTCAATCCCACCTTATCAGATGGGATTTAGACATTCATTTTCTTTAGTATGTTCCACATTCAAAATTGTCGGGACTTTCATTGTAGGCTTTTCAGGGCAGAAACCTTTGGCACATACTCTGTCCATAAATTGCTATCTCCTCTCCTTGCCCCGTGTCCACCTGCAGCCTTTCTCTCCCTGCTCTCAGCCTGAGAGTAGCAGGATACCCAAACCCCCCATTCCAGTTTGGTTGCTGGCACTGGTGTTACCTGGCAGCTGCTCACCTGGTTAGAAGCCAAGCAAATAAGTAATTAATAATGTGAATTATGAAAACGGACATATATAAGGTTCAGCTTTTTATAAAAGCAGTTTCTTCCTCCAAATCCAAGGGTCATTGATTTCTTGCTCAATTTTTGACCAAGGCTGAGGTAAGTGGGTGAAAGACGGGAGAAAAAGTTCAAATCTGATCTTTGGAGCTATGTCATTAAGTGCTTTATGGCCCATCTGAAGCTGACCATGAGACAACTTCTGAATGTAAAAGCCATGTAATAGAGACAGACAAATGTTAGGAGGTAGTCAGGCACACATTCCCCTGGTAAGAAACCTCCTTTTCCTTTCTTACAAGTGTGGTTCTGTGCACTCCCTGTCCTTGAACTCAGTATTCCCTGAAATCCCCTGTAACTATTCACATTAATAAAGTGTTAGGGTGTTTACCTAGGAAGGTTAGCTCTGCTGATTTCAGCACTTAAAAGGGGAAACGGCTCTGTTGTTTTAACAACGTCAACACTTACCACCTCTGTTTATTTTTTTATCCCATTAAACTTCTGTTCAAAATCAAACAGGAAGCAATTAAGGTGAGTTCACTACAAAGAAGTTCTCGAAATACATAGCTGGGTCCCCAGTGCAGAACGAAGGTCATGCCCCTAAAACATAATTAAGCTTATTTGGAAAGAATGCAGATCCCATACACTGGGCTTGTGTGAAAAACACAGCTCCACTTTACTTTCATTGAGCAGAGATCATGGATGGGCAAGATGGACATGATGGCTATCACCTTCATTGGGGCACACAGCTGAGTTGGCAAAGCATCAAGAACATTGGTTTAATCTATTGGAAGTAACAGGATGCATGAGGAAGACAAAAGAAACCAAACTCCCCACTAAGCTTCAGAATTACAATTTCTTCTCATCTAAACCCACTTTGACTTTTCTAAAGTCACCGCTCTGATGACAAAGAGAGGGATGTCAGGGAAACAAGCATCTAATGGCAACTGGGGAAAAAACAAAGGAAAGTCTTTACACAGGATTTAGCTAATTATATTTTGGGCAAATATTTATTTATCTAAAAACAAAATAAAAATCATTTTTAAAAGAAAAAATGTATTTAAATAAAAAACAAAATTGTGAAATGTTATGGCACACAAGTTCAAGACAAGTATAAATCCAGTTGCCACAACTGTTGTGTATTAATGTTGCACATTTTTCTATAAAGACTTTATTAAAGGTATTTACATGGCAAGAAGATGTGTAAATATATACAGCAATCTGGGGACAACTCTTTTTGGAATTCTCTTAAGAAAAAATGCCTTAAATACAAAATTTTGAAAGAAAAAAAGTTGAAGAGTTCATCCCCAAGCATGAAGAATGTCCCATCATCCCTTATGCCCAAAGTATCAATTATGAGGCAGTTTTGAGGTTCTGGCCAAACCGTTCGGAGATTCAGCCAAGGTTGTGTAGTCTCAAGTTAAGTCGCACAGCATGCAGTTGCAATAGTTCCATTCTCGATGGACTGGTGTAGTTCATGAGTGATATTAGAAACACTAATATTTTATCATAGTCTCAGCCTAGTTTGGGGTATTCTAAGTGATGTCCAAAAGTTCCTATGCACGAGAGTTCCTTAGCTGCTCAAGTTTGTGTTTCAACTGTTCTCTCCTCCGCCTCAACTGCTCTTTCTCTGCGATCAGTCTGTGCTCGTCCGATTGGATGGACAGAACGTACTCCGTGGCTTTTTTCAGGATGACAACCTTGGGCGCCTTCTCATTGTTGGCCACCTCGGGTATCTGGTCACGTAAGGCAAAGAAACTCAGCTTCAGCTCATTCCTTCGCTGGCGCTCCAAGACGTTGTGCGTTCGCCTCTTGTCGTTCTCCTCTGAGTCTGACGTGCGGGGACTGGAGCATTTTCGGTTGTTGCTGATCTGTTTGAGGACCCTGCCACTGTCCAACTTTAGCCTCTTGGCGGCTGGGTATTCCACCTTGGTGGAGGGAGGAGCAGCGTAGTTGTGCTGGTGGATGTTGACGTGACACCGCTTGAGGACGAGCGGACTGTGGTGGGGCTTACAGTGCTCCTCTGATGCTTCTGTGCTGGACTCTGTGCTGGATTCAGACTCATTTGCTTCAGCTAATGTAACGACATCGATTTCCTCATCTTCTTCTTGTTCTTCTTCTGCACGGGAAAAAAATAGCACCATGAGCTGATCTGTGCAAAAACTCTCAGGGAAGCCTGACAAGGGGTTACTCCAAGCCACAGATCAAGGAACCCACTGACAAACCTACTTCAAAACCATTCGACTCCGCAAGACTCCCCGTTCCCTACCCAAGAGCCCTTCCCTTAAGGAAGCGGCATTTCAAGGACTGCCCTCGGAACTCTGGCTCCCTGATTTCAAAAGTTGCACGGCTCTTGCGTAACTGCGAGCACAGAGATAGCAGCAAAGTTTAACCTCGGCTGTCAGCAGCGCAGCGTAATAAAGCTCCCAGACTCAAGCTGCCCTTAATTAAGGATTTAGAAGGCTTTGGCCACGCCTCAAAAGAAAGCTTACTTAACACACATGTGTATTCAGAGACATTTTCTCAATCTCTCTTGATCTGCTAATTTGTGGAAAATCTAAGTAAAAAAAAAAACAAAAAACAAAAAAAACAACCAAAACCTAAAAACCCGAAGGCTGCAGTGCTTGAGTAGCAACTCGCTTTCAACCCAAATTTATGAGCGAGCGGAACACGCTGTCAAATACCTAAGGAAGCATTTCTAAAACTTTCCCAGCCCCATTCACTCACTCCTCGCAGCCACTTTCACTGGCACCTCCCCGCCCGCATTCTCCCCGCGGCTCTCGGGCTGCAGTTAACTCCTTCCCGACCCGCGGGTGTCACCGGGAAGCGCTCCCTCCTCTCCCGCGCTGGGGACATCAGGCCGTGACCCCGTTATGAAAGTTTTTCCCTCCCTCCCTCCCTATTTTTTGTTGTTGTTGACTCCTTCTTTCCTCCAAAAGGATGAAGGGAAAACTGCTTTTCCAGGAAATAAACTCGCAGCGCGCCTCGCTAACGTGGCATTTAACAGAGCGGTGAGCGCAAGGGGGGCGAAGCGGAGCGAAGTCCCGCGAGCAGCGGGAAGGAGGAACGCTCGGGTCCCCGACACGCGTGGGCGCTGCTCACC